TATGTTTTTAAAGTGTTGGACTCCAACCACCTGTTTCAGACCCACCATGGTGCTTCTAAAAAATGTAGATCCCTGGGCCTACTTAATCTGAATCTCTGGAGGATGGGTGCTGGGGACTGGTTATTCCGATGCCCAGTGAAGTCTGAGACCTCTCACCCACCTGTCCAGAGCCACTGTCATCTCTCACCTGCAGTGTTTCAGTGGCCTCCTACTTAGTGTCTGTGCTTCTATTCCTATCTCCCTATGGCTGTGGTCCTCAAACTTGGATGCAAATTGGACTCTCCATGGGGACAATAAAAGTTGGGCCCTGCCCAAATCAGAGGTTCTGATTTGATTGTCTTGGTCGGGCCCTGGGCATTCAAAACTGTAAGAACATCACAGGAAAGCTGAATGGGCAGCCAGGATGAGCACAACTCTCTAAGGCCTGTTCTCCACACTGCAGACAGAATGATCCTTTCACAGGATTATGTGTCAATCCACATCAGGCTTCTACTCAGTTCCTCCTATGGCTTCTGTTCTTGCTACAGAAAAAGCCCAGGCTGTAACAGAGGCTGCAAGGCCCACATGATTAGGCACCTGTTGTCCGTCCAATTTCATCCTGTACAATCTCTCCTACCTGACTGCACGTCATCCATACTGGTCTTGTCAATATCCCTTGCGTATCCCTATCTCAAGGCTTTGTACCTTCTGCTCCCTTCACCTGGAACATTCTTCCCCAGTAGGCATATGGCGTGCTCCCGAGCTCCACCCATGTTTTGTCCAGATCCTTGCTCAAGCAGCACCTTATTGGGGAGGCCTGCTCTTCCTCCCTTTCTAAATTAGCAGCCCCCATCAGTCTCCATTGCATAACCCTGCTTTATTTTCTTTGTAAGTTTTTAATTCAACAAATACATAATCATTTTATGAATCTGCCATTTATCATCTGTTTTACTCTCATGAAAATGTTGGCTCCCTGAGGACAGAGAGTTTGTTCTCTTTACCCGTAATATTCCCAACACCAAGAATGGTCCCTGGCACATACTTGGTGCTCAGAAGTTACTTGTGCCAGATGATGAATTCTACCCTTGGACTGTCTCAAAAGCATGGGCGTTGGTTATTTCTCCTTCAGCACTGAAGGGAGTTGTGAAGGCAGCAGCAGCCTGTTTCCTGGCTGTACAGTTGCCCCATTATAGTTCTGCTGGCAGCCACTCTCCTTCCCCTGTTTAATGGCTGTAGGAAGGGGAGAATTTGATTGATTATTTTTGCAAACTCAAACTACCCTATGTGCACTAAAGGTTGAGAGGAATAGTACTCCTCTAAGTTTCTGGAGGGAATTGTATCTAAATGAGTAAGAAGCATAATCTGTGTTTTGGAAAAACTGGATTGAGTTCTTTGTGTCATCTGGGAAGTTTTATACTAAGTTAAATTAAGTGACTTTGAACTTTGAAGTGTCCACATCCTAACGTTTTATTAAGCTTAATTGGGTTTGTAGAATATTTAAGGACCATCCAAACTCAAATGGGAGATCAAAATGAACTAATAGGTTGATGTAGACTTCCCCCTGCCTCCTGCCTTTGTGCTGCAGTAATGAAAGTGACGCATTCATACCTGTGGATGATGAGCACAAAAGCCTGGCTTTCTGGGGAGTTTTGGTGTGTCCTGATGACTGCCCTGGTCTGAACTGTGCCATGGCCCCTTCCCTGTCATCTGTGCTATGAACCTGGCTTTCAGAACCATCCCCATCTGTCTCTGCTAAGGAGGCTTGCCATATAGTAAAATTAGTTGGGCTCTAGGCAGACTTGTCAAAGTTTGTTTGATGGAGCTTCTTAGGGAAGAAATCTCCAATTATTGGACATAAAATCCAAAAGGTTACAGAATCTGTTAGAGATGGAAATGAGGAACAGTTTGACTCTGTTACTCATAGAAGTTTTGCACTCATTTCATTGAGCAGTGGAGTAAGGCAGCCCACCCTACAAGATGCAAGGCCAGAACTTAATTTCCACAGGTCATCTCTTCTCCTATTTGATTTTCACTGGTACATTTACTTTTCCTATGTCCATGGAGAATGGTTCAGGAAGTAGCAGTGTCATTACTTTCTTTTCATTTAAAATGATCTTTAATTATTAAAGCAATATTTGTTCATTTGTAAAAACATTCAAAGGATATAGAAGTTTACAGAGTAAAAAGTGTAAGTTCCCTTTTAGAAAAAAATAGAATTCTATTTATAGAATACACAATATAGGTACACAATATCCCACAATTTGCTTTCCCCCTTGCCAAGTTATAATGGATGTCTTTCTCATGAGTACATAGCTGCATGGTATTCCACTACATGAATGTCCCATGAGTTTTTTAGCCAATCAGCTATCAAGAGAAGCTTGGAATTTAACAGGTTTTAACCATTACAAAGAATAAAGGTGAAGGTCCTTGTTTTTTACATATTTGTGTATTTGTGAAAATGTCTAAAACCGAATTATAGGGCTTTAAGAATATATGCACTCTACAATTCTCCATACATCTGTGACTTCGTGTCATCTCTGTTAGACCTGCTTGGCCCCCATAGACATTTTATTTGTTATCCTGGCTATAGATAAATGCCTAGAGGTAGAATTACTGAGTCTGAAAAAATTACAGATATAAAATCCTGTTGTTAAATGGATCTCCAGAATATTTATTTTGGAGTAAAGTCCCTTCATTTTGTTGCCAGTTGAAAGGCATTATTGTGAGAAATCCAGGGCATGAATCCAGTATTGTTTGATTATGTTTATTTTATATGCAGAGAGGCAACGAGTCATTTCCACGCCATTTCTACTCAAATAAGGGGGCCAATTCACTGGGAGCCAAGGGCTGCACATAAATGGAAATATTTAACATGATTCTGATTTTCTTTCATAAGCAATAAAATAAAATACAAACCAACAAAATGAGTATAATGCTATAAATGTCTTTGCACATACCTGACCCAGGGGATGGTGCTGACTGGAGAAGCCACAGTAGTGTTGGCAGTAGGGGCAGCGGTGCTGGTGGAGGGGGTCGTGGTGCTGGTTTGCATGATTGTGGTTATTGTTAGCACATTATTCCTCTGTAATCATGTCTAGTCTGAAGTTTGGTGCAATCCTACTGGTTTTCCAAATGGGTTGCCATATTTTAAAATCAGAAACTGTGTTAAGTTTTCATGAATGGTTCACAGCATTGTTCTGGGGTTTTAACTATGCCTCCAAGAGAGAACTCAGTTTGTCCTCAGGTTCTTCACCTGGATGGCAGAGGAGGTTTGGCACCTGCAGGTATCTTTGCTCAGAACAGATAGGCTGCTTTGGGTCAGGTCTTTTCCTCTTTACCTGCAAAGATAGACTCACAGCTTCACTTCCTAAGAGCTATCTTTTATGCTTTCTGCTTCGTTAAGAACTTGCTTTGTGCAGGTTTTTATTAGTCAGACATTTTGAGCTAAAAGCTAACGGTGGCCAGGCAGGAAAAGTGAACAGGGGACAGCTCTGTGTAGGAAGGTCAGTGGTGACCACTTTGGGCCTATGAGGTTGCATCTTCTATTTTTTTTTCCCCCAAGAGAGTCAGAATCTCCCAATTAAAAAAAAAAAAAAAAAATCCCTCCTCCCAATGTGATTCCGGTGGGAATAGTGTGGAAAAGAGCTGGGGGAATGAGAGAGGCAAAGCAAAGGCCTCTGTGTCTGCTCATCTGCCCCAGAAGCCCCCTTGCAGGAGCTGTTGATGGATGAAATAACTGCCTTACTCAACACAAATGAGGACAGACTAAGGCTATACAATGATAATATATATTTAAACATTGGAGATAAACCATCACTTAAGAACTATAGTCTTCCAGTTATATGTCTCAGTTAAGAGGTTACTCGTAACTAAAGCAAAATCTTAATTTTCAGTCAGCTATGTGCATTTACATTTTTATCCATTCATTTACTGAATTATAATATTCCAAGCACTGTGCCCCATCAAAGCACAGCCATCCTTTCCCTTGTCAGGTGGATGGTCTAGTGGAGATCAACCTCACAGGTATAACCACACAAGATACTAGTTAACAACAGCTGCAATAATGTCTCTGAAGGAACCGTAGGGGTGCTTGACCCAGTCTGGCTGAGTGGAGGAGACATCAGCTGGAAAGACTTTGGGGCCACATGTTGAATGTAATTCATCTAATACCATGTCTGCATTTAACTCAGTCATAAATTGGTGGCTGAAGGACTGATTTCACCTGCCAGAAGAATTTTGTTTGGACTGTGTGGTATTGACCCACATGCCATTCAAAATGTGAACCAAAGGATTTTAACCCTTTTAATTTCTTGTTTTTCTTCCATCTAACCCTCAAGTACAACTCTGGGAGGTGGGTTGTACTTTATTTCAAAGAATTCTGGCCTCATAATAGAGATTTGAGAAGGCAATAGAAAGTGAGAGATCCAAGGTTTTATATGTGTTCTCTGCTCTTTAGGAGCCAAAGTTTAGGAAGGCTAGAGAGGGTTCCCCTTGGTCTCCTGGCTATAGGCTGTGCCTCTCATCCCAATTAATTACCACCACAGACAGTAAGAGAGTGTCTGCAGCCTGATCTTACCATTGGGTGGGTGGGGGGCATGCTGAAGTTCTCTCAGTGGTGTTTTGATTCCCAAGAAGAGCACACTCTGTACTTCTGTGCGGATGAGGACAATGGTTGCCAATTTGGTCCAGACCTGGATGATCTTTGTCCATGTATGTGTAGCAAACTGTAGCAAACCCAGGCCCACGATGCTGCCAGTCTCCCGTTTCAAGTTATTCTCCTCTGTCGCAAGTTACACACCGAAAAACAAACACCACCAGTGCCATATGGGTTAAAAGATCAAAGGCCCCAGTTTTGAGTATATTTCTAGCTGACTTTACTTCAGATATCTTAAATATGTTTCTGAAGATGGGAAGCATGGGGCATTAAGGAGGTAAATCACATGTGTGTGAGCCATGCTTGTGGTCTGGGCAGGAGGGTGAAAACTGAAAACCACTGATCCGTGTGTTCCTCTTCCTCTCAGGTTCGCATCTTCACGTACCTCATTGGAAGAGAGGCTGCTTTTGCAGACAATCTCAAGTGGATGGCCTGTGCCAATAAAGGTAGGTCTCCCGATGGGTTCAGTTCTGAATAACTTCTCCGTGGATGTGTAGAAACAGAGACAGTCACGAGAAAGTGGAGCGTTCTATCAGAAGGCTATGAATTCTAAGATAAGGTCTGGATGTTTCTAAATGATTATGACTGACTTGTAACAACTTCTCCCAAAATGTGTTTATAAACTTTGAGGACATAGTCAAGTGGAGTGGTTAAGCCTCTCCACTCTATTGCTTAGTAACTGAGTAACCTTGGAAGAATTACTATGGCAGAGCCATTTACCACGCACCAAATATCCATGTGCTCACTCACCATTCCCAGCCCCTTGCACTGGTTCTGGCCAACAGGCTTTAAGCAAAACCAACCTGGGTCATTTATGGGCTAAAGCATTTAAGAGCTGGTTTGGTGGTATCTATTCTTTTCTGCTCCTATGAACTCTGAAGCTACATGATGGAATAGATGAAATAGCCTGGGTTCCTGAGTGGCCGCATGGAGCAGATGCCTTTCCGCTCACCCTGTCTTCTGCCATCTGCCAGCCCATGATGGATATATAGTCTGTGTGATAAACCTTTGTGTTAAGCCAGTGAGATTTCCAGTTTGATATGTTCCCATAGCATAACTTAACCTACATAACTAATTAACTTAGTTAACTTTAACCTGCTTCAGTGTTCTAATCTTCAAAGTGGAGAGGGTGATAATAGCTTTTCTTTTTGATTTTTATTGAATATAGGGTTAAAAAATGAAATGGTACAGATTAGGTGCCTAGTTCAGTGCTGAGACCTAGTAAGTGCTCAATAATTGTTAGCTTTTCTACTTTCACAGGTTAATTTTCTACACTGACAGGCCCTGATGTGTGTTGGAAACAATGCTTTAGGGAAGGCACAGGGAGGGAAGGAACAGGGCCTCCAGTCTTATGAAGGGCTTCTTTTCAGTCTACACACAACCAAGAAGGCAAAGCAAAGGAGGAAAATAGGTGGTATATTCTAGATTCCTTGAGTCTTAACCCAAACTCCTTGAGTTCAAATCCAGCCTCTACCAAACACCAATCACGGTGGTGGATGTTACCATACCTACCTGGGTCTGAGTTATATCACCTACAGAACAGAGATAGTGATGATACCTGCCCCAGTCAGATGCTGTGAGCATGAATGAGGCCGTGCAGGTAAAGCTGGCAGCTTAGTGCCTGGCACAGAAATGGCCCATATGATTTCCTAGTGTTATATTGATCTGTGGTTATGTCTTATCTCTGCTCTGAGGCTATACAGTCCCTGAGAGTAGCCTGTCACTCTGATTTCCTCTTGAGCACTCAGCCCAACCTCCTGCTCTATGTAGAGTGGCTGCTTCTTTAAGGTTTGAAAAATGAGCAAATTGACTATAAATACTAATAAATGAAGATATGTCCTGTTGCACAGTAAATTGGTATTGGTGGATGTAGGTGGTCTATTTCTACATTGCCTGTTATGCCGTCCTTTATAAAAGTTCCAATATATGTATGTTAGTGGAGGAAAGAGGACTCAGGGAAGGGTTGGCAGGTCTCAGCTTTAGTTTTGGTGACTTAAGACAAAGTTATTTTAGTTGCAAGCAACCAAAGTTGCTCCCTGAAATTAAAAAGAAGAGTGTTTTGGAGAGAGAGGAGAGTGAGTCAGAACCCAGAGTGGGAAGGGAAGCTTATGTCTCATGAGGGACCAGGGGCTGTGTTTTTGTTTTTCTTTTCCTTCTTGGTTTCTTTCTACATTCCGTGGCATTCTTCCTCTCTGTAGATAGACCTTCTCTGCTAGGGCATGTACATGTCAAAAATAGCTACCTCACACTGTGCATACCCATCTATCCACACAACACCTATTGTGGAGAAAGGAGAGTTTATATCTTATCCAAAAAATGATTCTGGCACCCAGCTTGGGACAGGTCTTCCCCTGCGGAATTGCATGTAGGCAGAGGTAAGGCCACAAAGAAAAATATATGTGCTCTGCAGGTGGATGGACACGGGAAGTTCTCAGGGAAAAGGTGCCTAGCCAAGCAAGTAAACCTCTGCCTCACTTTCCCTTTGCTTGGCATTGTGTTTTATTATCTGCTTCTACTTGGAGAAATCTTTGAAGCAAGTCTCAATTTCCTCATCTAAAAATGGAGAACTGCATGAAAGGTTTGAACATTTCCTTGAAGCTCTAAAATAACATGTTCTGCAATTATTTTAGTTTATTGGCTGGCTCACCTCACTCAAAGGTATCAGTAATTCTCATTGTCTCAGAGTAATGCATTTGGCTTCATTTGAAGAGGAAATATAGAAGGAAAGTAGGCATGAGGAGATGGAGGCTGAATGGATCCTAGGTTGCCTCTGAGAAAACAGACCATTGAGATAATTTTTGGAACTTCACTGACATTTGAGTGAGCTACACTTTCTCAATTTTTTCCTTGATTCTGTGGTCTTGAAAGAAAGAGTTCCTTTCCATTTTTTAATTTTTAAAAGTTTTCATGTTACTCCTGCCACATCAGACTGCAATTCTTCCCATCAGCGAGTATGCATTTAGTCATGGGTTATTGTTTTTAACCACTGTCTGTGTCCAGCTGATGAAAATTACTCAAATTGAAGTCTTGTCTTAATCAACTAATATTACACCATAATTTAGTTTTAGTCATTGTTTATAAGAATCTTTGAAGAATCCTTTTGAAGACAATTTAGTCAACTCAGAGTATTTCGGGGCCTGGCCATAGAATATAGCCCTTTAGATTTATAAGTTCTGAGCGCAGCAACTTGGAAAATTCAAGGAGGTAATAGTAGCTGCTTAGCTGGCCCGGCCGCTGGATTCCTCAGTGATTCTCCTTCTCTTCCTGTCCAAATCCAGTTGTTTCCTTCCCTGCCAGAGTCAGTCCCTCACAATAGTTTCACCTTCCTCCTCTGCTTCTCTTCTAAAGGGCCTTGGGAATAAAATGTCATTGTTTGCCACTCTTCAAAGTAGCAGTTGCCATCAAAATGTCAGGTTCCATTCATCTGTGCCCATATAAACATCGGCTTCATGTTGCGTCAGTTATGGGGTTTAGACCAGCGTAACGTCGGTGAGCAAGTATTCTTCTATGGTCATTAATTAAATCATTGTTTATACTCTCAGATTGTTATAGTATGGAGGCAGCATAACATTTTTCATCTCAAGTGACATGAGGTCCAGGGAGGGCCCGCCCCCCTCCTTACATATTTTTGCCCTGACTCAGCCAAGTTCTTCAGTGAAATGAAGCATTAGCATTTGGGGACCAGAGCAGACCCAGGGAAGCCCAGGGAGAAGCCTGTTGGCTGACTGACCAGAGTGACCCTAGGGAGGAGCAGGAGTTGTCAGGACCAGCTCATTGTCCCTGGGTCAGTGGTCAAGGACCTGCTATCCATGTGAAACTTCTTGTTTGGAAGTATGGTAGCCATGGAGACAGTTCTCAGTCAGTGGACCTCTGGCACTGCCCCCTGTAAATGGATGTCTGGGAATATTCATGCCCTCACAGGAGTTCTCTGCCTCCTCCAGTCCACTAGCAAAATCCAGAGAGGTCTGGAGCTCATTGGTTTGTCTCATTTTATGCATAACTAGGTCCTATCTTGAGGCAACCAGCCCTAATGAGGCAAAGCAGCAAACCATTTTAAATACATTAAAACAATTATTGCCACTGTAGAATGGCTTATGGAACTTAAAATTCTGCATTCACACTATTGGTTAAACAAGTGAACTGGGAAAACTGAAAAGAGGGGCCAACTAGCCCAGATACTCCATAAAGCCTTGATGACCTTCTGTAATGTTCAGTGTGCCAAGCTTTTAAATAAGCACTGCCTGATTCTCCTTCAAAAATCATGGTGAATGGAGTATTTTCCAGCTGTGCAAATGAAGAAGGGTCTCTGTATTTGGTTCTCAACTTATCTGTCATCATTAGATCGAATGGAAACGCCACGTGAGTCTGTCTTGTTTATCTCCTCAGCCTGTCCCTCGTTGATAGGCTAATGGTCATTCTCTCCTTGTTTGAAAGAGAACTGGCGGCCTGAGCCCTCCTTGGAAGTTCAGACCCATAGCCTTTTCCCACTAGAAATCTCTTAACCTCACTATACCTTTCCAAGTGTCAAATTTATGAGGCCAGAATGGTTGTTTGGAGTAGGGAAAAACTGGCAATTAAAATTTTTTGCTGTTTCAGAAAAGGTGGAAGAAGGCAAAAATGACAGTTATTCAGATACCTTTGTATAATTCTTTTTTTGTACTCTTCAACCAATTCCCCAACCCCCAGCCCCTGGTAAGCCTCTTTAGACTCTGTTGCTATGATTTTCACTTTTCTAGATTCCACATACCAGTGATATCATACAGTATTTGTCTTTCTCTGTCTGGCTTATCTTATTTAGCAAGATGTACTCAAGGTCCATACATGTTTTTGCAAATGGCAGGATTTCCTTGTTTCTCATGCTGAATAATATTTCTGTGTGCGTGTGTGTGTATACACTGTAACTTTTTAATCCATTTATCCATTAATGGAGACTTAAGTTGTATACGTTCTTTGTGTAGATTCCATAGAACTTGAGAATTTGAGTGGAAAGGGTAATAGTTGTGAAGATGAACATGGTGCTACTATTGTTAATAGCAACTAAGGATGACAAACTTCTTACTAAGTGCCAGGTAGAGTGCAAAGTACTTTTATGTGTTATCTCTTTTGACCCTCCTTAAAGCTGTATGAAGTGCATGAGAAGGAAACTGAGACTCAAAGAGACTAGCAGCTCGCCCCAGGTTACCAACTAGCAGGTGGCAGAGCCAGGAATCAGGCCCAGTTGTTCCAAAGTCTGAGCCTAACTCTTCACCAGGATGTGAGGTTGCTTCTCTTTGGGGAGAAGAAAGTCATGGTTCATAGAGGACTATTTCCCATTATTTGAGAGAATCTAGGAAAAGGAATCTAGATGTTGAGAAAGGACTTTAATGGTCTATAGCTAATAAAGACTGGAGCTGGGATTTATAACCAGCCTGTGTGTTCCAGAAATTGTCCTGCTTCAGCTTGTGTA